TGATGATGATGATGATGATGATGACGAAAGAATAATGAAGGCATTATCGGTTACTGTTCTATTAGACACCATTACCGCCATCGTCGTCAAGAAATAAGAGAAAAACTATTGCAATAAACTAATTAGTGTTTCCAGTTTCCTTTTCTTCTAAATATATGTGTATAATTTCTTCTGCTAACCAACCAACTTGTTCAATCTAAGTGACAATTGAACTAACACCAATGTTGTACAAGGAAATAACTGAACATTTAACAAACATACGTAGCTAATTCGCCTATATTTCCAGCCTCTTCAAGTTGCTCGCAAGTTTTAACAATCTAAAATACATATTTTCAATGTTATTATCAATCCATTCATAAGTTTATATATTTATTATGGTTGATATATATGTGTTTATGTGGATAATTCATCATCACTTAGACAGCAAAACAAAGATCATTTAAGGATAGATGAATAGAATAAGAAATGGAGAGGGATATTTTGAAATGCAAAAAAAAAGTACTCAGAAATTTGATAAGAATAAAGATTTCTTTTTAATTTCTTTGATAGTCAAAAACTAAGACAAAATTTGTATATACTTTTTTTCCACTATCTATCTTTTCCTTTTTTTTTTCTTTTAATATTTGAAGTCTTTTTCTAAATAATTTATTGAAATTATAGACTTTACAATGAGCAAAACTAAAAAATGTTCTTTCAACCAAACAACCAAAAAAAAAGCAGAAAAAAATACTTCAAACTAAAAATTAAAAATTAAAATGTAACGCATCCCGTAATAAATATTATTTTTTGTCATCGCAATTTTTTTTTTCACTAGTATTAATGGCTAATGAGATAAAAAAAAAATTGACATCTAAAAGACTTCTTCCACTTCAGTTAATAATATCAACATTGAAGGCACCTGAAGTTTCGTGTAAGAGAGAGGAAGAAAAATGTAAAAATAAAAATCAACTTGTTTCTTTTTTGATATATAATTTTTTTCTCTATTTAAGAAAAAAAGAAACAACAAGTTCATCGGTGTTTTAAGAAGTTAAAAGAAATGCAAAATGGGATAATTGAAAATGGGTGAGTAACAACGGTAAATGGATTCCTTCCAAAATTGGTATCAATACTGTCGTCTATTTGAGACACACTTTTTTCCTTTGATATAAAAATTGATCATTAGTATCCATTTTAAGAAGTTAAAATTTTAGTAAAAAATAAAGCCCATTTTTGAACAAATAGACCCATTTTTTGGCTTTTTTTTTTACAGAAAGAAATAAAGAATAATAGAAGAAAGAAAAAAAGAAGAAAGAAAAGAATGAGAGAAGCCACTTCAGCAGTTTGTCTTTATGACGATGACAATATGATTTGCCATCATCATACGATACTTTGCCACATATCACCGAATAAAATTGCAGTTTATTTTTCATAATTGACACATAAAACAAAAAGAATGATAACTGCAAAAAAAAAAAATTTATTGTTAAAAAAAGTTGCAACAGCTATAAATTCTACCACTTTTTTTCTTTTTTTTTTTTTTCTTGGAATTTTTTGAAAAACTGGAGAAGAAATAGAGGAATAACTGCTTAAAAATAGTTACTTCATTGGAAGAACAACGAAAAGCAATAGATTTGCTCAAAGTGCTAGTTTTAGCATTATCCGAATTGTCATCAGCAACAGAAGCAAAAGAAAGAAAAAACAGAAACAAAACCAGATGGACTAAAAGATCAGAGATGATTGCAAGCAATCAGAGGTTTCTGATGGCCAGTCATCATTATCCAAAGTAACCAAGTTGAATAGCATACGTATCAAAACAAGGCAAATTGTCAAAAATAAAGAATCAAAAAGCGCAAAAAACAGCAAATAAAAGATTGAACATTATTATAACAACAGAACAGAATAAATAAGTAGAGTAGAAAAAAATCGAGTAAATAAGTAAGTAAGTAAATTGAATAAATAAAAAAAAAACCTGTTCAGGAGTAAAAATTGATGGTTCTGGATGAATTGCTGTGCTCCCAAAACTTGCAGGAAATGGCCGAATTGTTGATGGAAATAAAGAGTTTCCTTGCGGAAAGGCCTTAAGCTTCATCATTTATTTAACAAAGTTGTTGAAAAAAAATTTCTTTTCTTTTTTCACAAAATATAAACTATTGTTTTTTTTTCTTAGAAGAAAGCAAAAAATGACAACAGAAAAGAGCAGAAAAAAAACATAGCAAAAAAAATAGACAAAAAAAATTTTTTTTTTGCATTTAAAAAGTCAACATAAAAGCAAAAATTCAAATTTTCTTTATCTTTCCTAAAAAATAAAAGAGAGCGGAAAAAAAACAG